TAATAATTACTTACTACGTCGTCGTCCGTACCGACCGAACCTACCTACCTACTACTTACTTTCTTTTACTTTCGTTCTTACTTCGTACTTTACTTACTCTCTCTCTCTCTCTCTCTCTCTCTCTCTCTCTCTCTCTCTCTCTCTCTCTCCCTTGTATTCTTTGTACAAGTCTCTCTCTCTCTCTCCCCCCCCACACCTCCTTCCTCTCTTTCTCTCTCTCTTGTATTCTTTGACGAACAAGTGATATTCTATCAGGTTTCAGAACGGAAACCTGTTTTCGAGCCAATTTACAAAACTTACTCCTCTCAAAACATTCAGGTTTTTTTATTTGAGGCCTTATGCTTCTAATCATGTCTTTGATTTCTTTGCAAACCAAAAATGTCATTTAGTAACTAAATGGGTCGGGACCCCTAAAAAGGCAAGCCTACACTATAATCCTCGTGGACCTGTGGACAATCCATGTTCATGAGGGTCATCACCAAGATGGTATTAGAGATGGATCGGGACCATCTTTGGAAAAAAAAAAATAGTGAGTTTCACTGACATAAAAGCCTTCATAATGCTGCTGCTCTTGGCTCTTCTTGTTTTGAAAAGTGGATATTGTCAGTGTTACAATGTTAACACGTGGTACCAACCTTGGGCCCGTATCTTTGTCTGTCACTACTCATTTCTGACTTAGCCTGGCCCCATACTTAAGTTTATCTAGAGGTCACTAGTTCGTGGAGTATGTGACCTTCAAAGCCATCAGAAAAACTTGGCAAAACAAACGATGGCTACTAAATTGGCTCATCCCAACAGTTTGTGTTTCTGGAGAGTTGTTAGGCTTATTTCCTGCAGTTGTCTGTGTCTTCCAGTTTATTAATGTTGGTAGCATTCTTAATTGCAATATTTCAACATTAGAACAAGTGAAAATTTATCTAGATGGTTATATTATTTGGATGTCTTCACATGTTAATTATTCATTGCCAGCCTTGGGAGGAGCAAATGTTAAAAGGTCATGAGAATGGAACACTTGTCCTCCTTGAAAATTTGGACCCATCATACACTTCAACAGAAATTGAGGTGAATTTTCTACTCCAAATGGATACTGAGATTGGTTGTACTGCAAATTCTCATGATGGAAGTTTTCTGAATATTCTTGGTCCAACTTTATCTTTTGAATTCATGATTTTGCCTTTGATATTTACTGACATGCAACAACTGCTTATTGATTATCTAATTAGAACTTATAGTTCACATTTTATCTTGGTGCTTGATTGAAAAATGTCCAGCAATATTTTCTTGTAAAAAATATTTATTGCCATTTTGGATGGACTATCACTTGCAAAAGGAAAATTTCATGAATGCTAATCCTTCCGTAAATTTTCTCTAGTCCAACTGTTTGATTTCTTCTTGAGAATAATCATGAACCAATTTGGATGTCTATGTACTTCGATTAGTCTCAATTTTTCCTATTGTACAATTTTAAGTTATTATGTTGTTAATATTCTTGTCTCCTCAGCATTTGACATTATGTCTATGACCTAATGAGTTACAGGGGTATGCTTGGTTGTTTTTTCTGAAAATCAGTGGAACCTGCAGCAACATACTCAGGCTCCAAGGATCTCGTTTCATGTATATTGGAGCTTTTTAAATTCAGAGGTTAATCAAAACTAGAAAATAAGCACATCATATATATGCCAAGGTTGTCTTTCACTAGATGAATTAGTGTTACTCATTTGAGAGAAACAAGTTTCTTATGAGGGCCTCCAATGAAGACTCCCATCAAAAGATACATATTCATAGCTTAAATTCAAATTTACCTTCACATAATTCTCATCTGTCGTTTGTCTTTAACCAAAACATTTGACAACTCAAAACAAAATACTAGCAGCCCCTCTTGGGTTTTTTTTTTTTTTTCTGGTAGATAGCATTTGTATTAATTAATCCAAATGTCAATATTTGGAGGCTGCAAAAATGATGTTGGGTTTGTGCTTCTTAAAAGAAAATTGTTTGGGGTTTGTACAAAAGATGATATGGATGTTTCAGATGAGGGGAAGGTCTATGGGGCGATTGATGAACATTATTGTGAGGAATTCCCCTTCTTTCACTAGGCTGTTGGTTAAAAAGTTTGCTTCTCAACAAGTTTGTCCAAACAACTCCTATAAAGGGTGGCATGGGTCAAAAATTTGATCAAGCAAATTGTTTAATCTCCACGGTCTAGGTGGGTGCTCTTTGGCCCAGTTAATCACATTGTCTCCTAATGATGATGTTGATGCCCTAATCTGTCGATCAATTGGAGACCAGCAAGCAGAGTTTCGGACTCCGCTTGCATGACATCACTCACACTTATTGGCCCTGAGTATGTGAGAAGTGTTTCATCTTGACAGTTTCCAAAAGTTCCTCAACCTGCCTTCCTGGAATCCATAGAACGGCCACCAAAGTTCAATTTAACAGTCTCATGGGGAGGGGCCAACCAATGAGAATATTTGGAGGGGAGCTAGGTGAGGGCATGATGACTTGTTTCCTTTGTGTAAGTAAGTTGGTTGTGGAATAGGCTAAATTCCTTGGGAGATAGGGCCCAAAAAATAATGGAGGCTCTGATTCGATCAGTGAGGGCTGTTATTCGAAGTAGGCTCCCATTAAAGTTCTATGATTTAATGGGTGGTTGGAAGAGGGGGAGAAAGCCACGATTGTATGAGGTTTTCCACCAAACAAGGGTGTTGGGGTTGGCTACATGAACTATATCAAGAGACATACCCTCATTGAAGTGAGGTGCACCTCAATACTATGCTGAAAATGCAATTTCGGTGCCGCAAAGCCTTGCGATGATATAAAAATGTATTGTTGCCCCCAATTGTGTGTGTGCATGCATGCATGCATGCACGCGCGTGTCTCTATCTCTGTCTTTGTGTCTCTGTCTGTCTAGGGTGTGGTTTTTATAAGGCTGAGGCCCTAACCAAAGTAAGGCACACCTTCAAATAGTCTCAAAACATGCTATTTCAATATTAGAAATTTTATGATGGCCTGAAAATTTTTATTTTCATCTCTTATTATAAAATTTTTATGTAGGCTTGAAATGCATTTTTTCTCACTTCCATACATCTTGAGGTCGAGATGACCGAATTGAGGGTTTTTCAGCATCGAAACAACCTCTGCTAGTGAATTTTTGAGGTGTACCTTAATTTGATTATTTAGGGCCTCACCCTTAAGTAAATTATATATATATATATATATAGAAAAATTGTTCCATGCGGGCTGGACCACATTTCTACATTATGCCTTCTTGAGGTATAAAGCATCCATCTTAAAGATGGATGCAAATAGGTGGTCCATCTAAAAACAAGTGTAACTAACGGTCCAAATTTTTTCTTAATATAATTATTATTTCTAGTTTTCAAAATTTTTTTTTTTTCATATTCATGATCTCCATGTTAAAGATTTGTATATTCTCTAAATATTAGGATCCAATTATATTTAAAAAATATATTTATTGCCATGCCCGCACTGCATCTGTTTGGTAAAAACAAGAATATTCGCCTTTCTATAATATGTGGGTTGGCCGCATAGAAACCGTGTCTATATATATATATATATATATATA